CAACAAAGCTGTCCCATAACAGAACCGAGCCTCCTGCATGGCTCACTTTAGGTACAGTTTTCTTTGTTTAACTTTTGGGTTTGTGAGCATAGTTTATTGGCATTGTTGTCAAAAAACTTTAGTTAAGTCTAATATGTCCAAACGATATCCTCCCAGAAGTTTTTTTGTCAGAAAGTCTTACGCATTTTGACCAATTACAAGGGCAGCACGGTGGCGCCACTGGTAGAGCTGCTGCCTCTCAGCGAGCAGGTTGCCCCAGATCAAATTCAACACTTGCTCTTCTCAAGGGCAGACATTTTCTCCTCCTCTCCCTCTCTGCTTTGTTTTTGCTCTGTCCTGTCTGTGAAACTGCTTTACAGCCTCTCTTCTACAAATCTTCCGAATCATAACTATGGACTTGGAAGCGGTCAGTTGGTCCCTCATCGCAACTGATAACATTTCTTTGAAGAGAAGAAAGGCGTTAGGCGAGCAGATTTGCCTTGTTGGCACGCATGCAGCTGTATATCTCGACTTGGAAGACTTGATGACGTGTCTATCTCTGCTGTCATCTGTGGATTTTAAGGATGCATTTATAATTGGATTTATGAAAACTGGTTCCTGCTATTTGGATTCGGCTGGTTCCTGGTCTATCAACAATCAAGGAAGTCGTTGGCAACAAATCTGGACCTGGTCAGGCTGCCTGTCTTATGATGGCTTGGTTCGTGCCTCGAGCACCCAGACTCAAATGCTTTTGGCAGAATGGATCAGATCTCAGGGATTATTCTCAGGCGCGGTCCACTGGTGTGGTCATTTAATTTGGACGTTTCAGAACCGAGTGGATCGACACAGACTCAAGGTAGATGTCATTTAAGTTCTGCTTGTCCCCAAAACAATTGTGTTTATCTGAATTCAGCTCCCTGACTGGCCTTGACAGGCTGTCTTATCTCAACCCGCCTGGAAGTTTTGTAAACTTGATGGCTCTAACCCCTCCCTCCCTTCCTACCAAGGAATTTCCATGGACTTTTCAAAGGGGCCCAGCTGAATAAACATTCTGTCATCATTTCAAGACTCTTTGGATTTTGTCCTTGGTCGTCCTTGGCACCCCCCGAGTGTGCACGGATCTCTCCAGAGGGAACTATTTGAACTGAGTGATTTGATCTGAACTCTGCAGTGCCTCTGTGTGTTGTCTTTGGACATGCTCACTACCCTTGCCCCCCCACCCCCCGCGCGCGCGTGATGTCGATGTCATTATGTGCTAGTGTGTGAGATTTGTTTTCATTATCACGTTGTTGACATTTCAAACAGAGGTTTAAAGTGTGTTAGGATTTTTTTTGTCTCCAAACCCTATGTGTTATGTTTCACCACTTTTTATTGTCTGTCCAAACTGGTCTTACTTGTAAATGAGTCTTTGAGGCTCGATGTGACTTATCTGTTTAAATAAAGGTTGAATGGAATGAATGAACAAATCCCGGTCCAAGGGCCTTTCTGGGTGGAGTTTGCATGTTCACTGGATCTTTCAGAAACTTTTCAAAAACACTGATCTGCCATTTGCAATTAGTCTGAACTCAGAGTGGTGGCTGGACTTATTTTTAAGATTTTAAAAACATTAATGACAGCACTGTGGTCTAATGTTGGAGTCCATGTTTTTTTTGTCTTTGGTGACTGACAACAAAATTCAGAGCGAGCTAGATGGAGCTGTGCCGGTCCCTGACTCTTCCCGGTCCTCTGACTCTCAGAAGGCCATTGCCTGGACCCCGGCCTCACTTGCTCATGCAGGCCAAACCCCGATCCCGGTAGATGGGCAGACCGAGATGGGTCTGGGACGGAGTGGTGGAAACGATTTTTAAACACATTTTATGTATAAAAAAAGTATTTTTGTTTATTTATCAGTGAAGATTAAACTGTGCCGGCTTTATCATGAAATCCTGTTTTCACTTTAATGACTATTAAATAATCTGTTAAAGTTAACTCAGCTGAAAAATCATAAAAAGACACAAAATTATTGGATCTCAGGAATATTTCCCTGAAACATGTTTAAAGAAGAGACACAGCCTTTAGTTCAACTTTATTCTAACACACAGATGTACAAATCACAACACAAGAATTGAACTTTAAAACAAACTAAAATAAAATAATCTGTATACAAGAAACAAAACCACATATCTAAATTGAACAATAAAAGTAGACACAATGAGTGCAAATACATCAAATAATGAAGAAAAGGTATAACATTTTAAATGTAGAATCTTGTTTTCACAGCTGATAGTCCGGTAGACTCGGTTCGGTTCAGGACCAAAATTCATGACCTTTTGTTACATTTGAGCTGGTGCGTTTGCATTCACACTGCACTGTGCAGTCGAGCCAACCTGTTGAACCAACCTGTTCCCCCACTCGTCTGTGGGGGCGCTGCACCAAGAACTACTGAAAGAAACGACACAAAAACCTCTGAAGGGTGCATTCATTATCTTTGTATAGATCTAGTATAGAGCTGTATGAACGGGTAAATGAGGCACAGATTGTGTTGAAAAGAACTTTGAGTATCTCGTCAAGATAGAAAGGCGCTGTATAAGTACAGTCCATTTACCATTTATACAGCGCCAAGTCACAACAGAAGTCGTCTCAGGGCACTGAACAGAAATATGCATATATAAAATAAGTTAACAGAAAATTTCATATTTAATATAACAATTTAACATTATTTATCTGAGGAGCAGACTGTTTTGAATTTAACTCATCACAGAACTCTCACTCTTAATGGTGAGCTAATCTTTAAAAATTCATTAGCAGTATATATATATATATATATATATATATATGTATATATATATATATATATATATATATATATTTTTTTTTAATCATTGTAATAATATCCTGATGCATGCTCATTGTAATAATCTGTATTCCTTTTAATTTACCAGAAACTTCCAAATAAATTCTCACCTTGTGTATGAAATCTGTTTCAAGTTTAAGTCATGATTATGAGCTAAAGGTGTAAAGCTAAACTTTACACCTTGTTATCCAGATTTTCCATTCACAGTGTTTGGTAAATAACTAAAGTGTCATAACAAAAGTCAAGATATTTTTAATACATCTTTATTGTCAACATCTATACAAGATCTTTTTTTTATACGGTCTCTCCTCATGTTTTCTTTCCTTTTCTCATCTAAGCAAAATATTATTCTGAATAAGAATAAGAGGGCCGCACTTCTTATAGTTGCAGCTTCGTGCACTCCACCATCTTTCGGACGACTGTATGTGCATGTTCTTGTTGTGTCTCGGTGCAATGACAATAAAGTTTATTCTGATTCTGAGTTTATACTGAAATGATTCATGGATGGAACACAGCCTCTTTCCTCTTTATTTCACACATTAGTGGCTCCAGAGCTGGACGTCAACAGACTGTAGGTCTGCTGCCATTGTTCTGCTGGAGAAGCATCAGAAACACACACAGCATGTTTCACTAAACCGTTTTTAATCGACATTTACCGGTACATACTTTTACACTCAGCTCCCACTATATATAGTAAATTAGCATTAGCTTAGCATCACTCGTCCTCTAATCTTTATGGCTTCCCACACGCTCCTGCACGCCTCCAGAGCCTTTTGCTTGGTCGCACGCAGATTTTTTCTGGGTCTTTTCTCTTTGACGTTTGACAGAAAGCCACAGACTGAGCATAATGTTCAATAAAGTAACAAGATCCTCCATTTTGGTTGTGTATCTTTTCAGGCTCTTCTTCTTAATACATTTAGTGGTGGTAAATAGCTTAAGCTACCGCCACCAGGTGGTAAGACGAGTTGGATTCTGGACCCTGCCAACAGAACCGGTCCTGAAGTGCATATGGAAATGCAACGTGCACCAAGCTGAACTGAGCTGAGCCGTCACTGTGGAAAAGGGGCTTATGTGTCCCTGTGATGGACTGGCGACCTGTCCAGGGTGTCCTCCACCTCTCACACAGTGACTGCTGGATATGGGCACCAGTGACCCACAAAGGAAGAAGCAGGTAAAAATAATGGATGGATGGACAATTTCCAACCTTTTAATAATTGAGTATCCTCCTCTGTCATCTTCCATTAAGTCCACTTTGTCTCAAACAATGACTGATGGTGCAACCCTTGATCCTTGACCTCGGAGTTCTACTTGAATCCATCTGGAAGTTGTTTCGGGCTCTTTGGTTAACCTTTTGTTTTACCTGTCTCGTCAATTCTTGTTTGGGGAAGTTGTCTCCAGCCCTATCGACCTTAAACTTCTGAATAATCTCTTCAGCTGTGTTCAGGAACATCAAACTTTTGGAGACTCTATTACAGCTTTTACCTTTAACGTGCTGCTCGATCATTTTCTTTCTAAGCTCCTGAGAAAACTCCTCAGCTTCCTGTTCTTCATGTTCAGTGTGATACACACTATGAAACCAAACAGCCCTGTGACTACTTTTCACCCTGTAAATAGACAGACTGACTGATACAAGACTGAAGATACCTGAGAAGCGGATCACCAAACAGACCAGCCACCTTAGTCTTTGTCTCTGTGGTCAAATTATTTCAGTATTTTAAAGGCACCATCATTTTTGTCTCGGGCCATTAGTTGTTTTTTTAATAAGATGCCACTGAACCAAAATTCAAAAACACTGACTGATTTTTGACACAAATGTTTTATACTTTACTATTATTACAGTCAGTTTATAGTTATTTCAGTATTCATTGAAGGTTTTTCCAACAAACCAGTAAAAGAAATTAATTTGCGTTGCTGTATTTATTTACCCATGTTGGACCAGATTTTGTATTTAGACAGTTGAAATATAAACCTATATGTTTGCTTTAGGCCCTAATATATTCATTGAAAAGAGTTTTGGACATTTCTTTTAGGATTGTAAAATCACTGCAACAGTCATGTTTTACATGGTAACTTACTATTTAATGAAAAATGGATGATGTAGTAAAAAAAATGCAGTACTGAGATGTTGCATTGCAATAATACCATGTGACAATTAACTAACTCCTTTTAATTTCACAAATCTCAACAGAATATGTAAGTGAGCGTTCTTTCTTCCTGAGAATGAAGTGCATTCTTGCTAAACGGAATGCTGGATTGACATGTGGAGGCTATAAGGTAAGTATGACTTGTTTCATTATCTATAACCTATGTGTGTCACACACACATAGGTTATAGATGTTAAAGTGAATATATATG